GCCAAAACAATTCATCTACCTATTGAGTACCGCAAACACTGCAAAAACTAAAAAGACGTACCTAACAAAAAGAAAGAGGTAGTTAACAAGGAGTATAAATACGATCAACCAACAAAAATTATGCAGAACGAAAAATGACACTGAAGATGGCACAACGCCGAAACCGGTTTGTCTCCAAACCAAATTTGACAAGGGATGACGGAAATTCGTTCCATACTACATCATACACCCACCCTGTCGGAAACAACAACAACCAAAAAGGAAAAAAATATGTTCTTACAAACATGTTTAGTAAATGGAGAGTGCAAAAAAGAAAAAAACTAATTGGTAGCCGTTTGCGGAGGAGATGCTGCTGGAATTATGGGAAGCAAATATAGTGGACCTGCGTGGGGCCAGGAAGAACGGCCACATCTTTAAACTGATGGCAGAATCCCTTAAAAACGCTGGAGTGTGTGTCAGCAGTGAGGAAGTGCGGTAAAAAATAAATAACCTCACTGGGAAATATAGGTAAGCTAACTATTATATATAATATACTGGCGTTAAAATGTATATCTCTTATGTTTACAATTGCTTTCAGGAAAGAAAAGGGGAATATTGGTGTGTCAGGTGGATCACCATCAGACTGGCCACACTATCAGCGAGTACATGCCATTATAGGTGGTTTTAAATGCAATAACATAGAAGAACTTGTTGAAGAAAGTGTATCCATAGGTATGTATATGAAATTGATCATTTATTATATATGTGCGTATTTAATTTAAATACTTATGTACAAACACAATTTCAGAGTATTTATTTAACACTCCATCGTCGGAAGTACTGGACATTTCTGGGGCTTCCTGTTCTGACTCCCTCGCTCCGGTAGAGGTCGAGTGTGCTGGATGCTCCAAATCGAAAAAAGCAGAAGTTAAACGCAAGTCTCATAACGGAAATTCAAGAGACGAAAGAGCTAATAAAAACAATGCATCAGGAAGAGAACGTTATCGACGGACGGAATGTTTTGTTAGAAGAATTTGTAAGCGATTCTAAAATGTTTCAAAACTCACTCTTACAAATTTTAAATAATAAAAATCATTAAAGACAGTGATTAAAAAAACAAATTAAATTTAGTCCATTACTAATTCATTTATTTTCAGAGCAATAATAGTAATTGTTAAAATGTAGATTATTTTTTTCATGTGAAATAGTTTACAATAGATAAAATAAAGTAAGGGATCCTGCTTAATACTAATATTATAAATGCGAAAGTTTGTATATTTGTGAGTTTGAATGGATTTGCTTGAAATTTGGCAGGTAGATAGTTTATTACCTGGATCAATATGTACTTAGTTGCAACATATAAGAGTTGCGTGGAAAATCAAGCGGGTAGTGGCTGTCTAACTGTTTTAACAAAAAACATAAATAAATAGATATAAATATGTATAAATAAATAATAAATAAAGATACATAGAAATTTATGCTTACCTAAGAACATTGCTATAGCAGATCTTATATTTTCCGCTGTGAGGTTATTATCAGTCAGGGTACAATTAAACTCCGGCTGCGGTCGGACTACGGTTTCCTCCTGCTCCCGTAATTGTTGCATCCAGCGATTGTTTATGCAATCGTTTTTCTCGTTTAAAAAATTATGTAAAACACAAGCACATTTAATTATTAAATTTACATTGTCAATTCGGTTATCAAGACCTTTTCCAATTCTTCTAAATCTAGCTTTGAGATGACCAAATGCATTCTCGACTACCCTTCTGCACTTAGACAGGGCATAATTAAAGTTTTTTTAACTGAAGCTAGCATTCTCTCTATATGGATAAGGTTTCATTAATATGTCCGAAAACCGAAAAGCTGAATCTCCAAGCATTACAACTGGAACGTTAACTCCGTTTATTTGCGTAGACAAGTGCGTAAGGATAGGGTTTTGATGATGCTGTTTCAAAGCAGATTTCTCGAAAATGTGGGAATCGTTGCACCGTCCAGGGGTGCCTACGTTTATATACATAAATCTGTACCTATAATAAACAATGTGAGCATTTACTTTTTAGGCATATATTCAATACCAACCTATATATATATGAGTATATTTTTAAAATTTACCAACAGCGCTGATACATTGGGGGGAATCCCAATTTTCCAAAACCATTCACACATTCTCGAACAGTAGCTTCACTGAGAGGATACTTATTAAGGTACGTAGGTTGCATTACCCTCCATACTTCCTTGCAAAAGTCCTTCAGAATCATACATACTGCTGACTTGGAAATACCAAACAGATTTCCTATAGTTCTGTATTCTGCGGAAGATCCCAGAGTATACACCGCGACTGCAATCCTTTTATCTAAAGCAATTGGTTGTCCAAAATTTGAAGCTTTTTTTTTTCATATTTCGCATGGCCATAACCAATTCGTCAAAAGTTTCTTTTTCATTCGAAAATTTTCTTTGAAGAAATCATCGTCGCTCTCTGGAACTTCTTGTTCCCAAAAACTACTCTGACGAGGCTGAAAATTGGGTAAAGTTATAGTATTTCTTAATACTTGTGTTTTATTAAATTTCTGTTAAGAGGACTTGACTCTTGCAAAACTAGTCAAAAGTTCTCAGCGTAACTAATGTGTTACTAATGTGCATAAGCAATGTTCGCTTAAAATTTGACACCTTTTTAACCA